TGTGTGTTTTCCTGTTTACCATTTTTATTTCTCTTCATTTCTTCCTATGGGTTCCAGTTACCATCTCGTGTTATTTCCTTACTCCAAAATAACTTTATTCCCACTCTCTTTCCTTGTGTCGTCATTGTCACATATATTACATTTCTGTATGTTATAGTCCCAAAAATACAATTTATGGACATTGTTTTATGTGATTGCTTTTTAAATTAAGAGAATGAGAAAGAAATATCTCATCATACTATCTTTTATCATTTCGTATATAATTACCTTTGTCAGAACTCTTTCTTTGTTTTTCAATTGGTCTATATATTTATTCATTTACTTTTTTTTTTGGCGTTTTGCGGGCCTCTCACTGTTGTGGCCTCTCCTGTTGCGGAGCACAGGCTCCGGACGCGCAGGCTCAGTGGCCATGGCTCATGGGCCCAGCCACTCCACGGCACGTGGGATCTTCCCGGACTGGGGCACAAACTCGTGTCCCCTGCATCGGCAGGTGGACTCTCAACCACTGAGCCACCAGGGAAGCCCTATATATTTATTTTTTAAAATTTCAGCTTTATTGAGGAACTCTTTGTTTTTTTGTGTGGATTGCAATTACTGTCTAGTGTCACTTAATTTTAGCCTAAGGAATTTCTTTTTGTAGTTCTTGTTAGTGAGGTTTGGAACAACGAAGTATCCTAGTTTTTTTGGGTCTGAGAATGTTATTTTGCCATTATTTCTGCAATATAGCTCTTCTGGATATAGGATTCTTGGCTAATAGTTTTGTTCTTTCAGCATTTTGAATGTTATTCCACTGCTTTCTGTCCCCTATTTTATTCCTAATGAAACCTCAGGTTTACTTGTATTTGGTGATCCATTTCCCTCATTTCACTTTTGAGATTTTCTCTTTATTTTGCCTTTCAGCATTTTGAGTGTCCATCTGTTTGTGTTTATCCTATATGGAGTTTGTTGAGCTTTTTGGATGTGTAGGTTATTGTTTTTCATCACATTTGGGAAGTTTTCAGCCATTATTTCTTCAGGTACAGTTTCTATCCTTTTCTCTCCTCTCCTGATTTTCTCATTACACATCTGTTAATGTAGTTAATGGCATACCACGTTTCTCTGAAACTGTTCTTTAGGTAGTATAATCTAAAAAATCTGTTCCTTAGATTGTAAAATCTCTATTGATCTATTTTTAAAGTTCATTCTTGCCCTACTGCCAACTCAAATCTGCTGTTGAGCCCTTTTAGTGAGGGTTTTTTTTTTTTTTTTTTGCTGTACGTGGGCCTCTCACTGTTGCGGCCTCTCCCGTTGCGGAGCACAGACTCCGGTCGCGCAGGCTCGATGGCCATGGCTTGCGGGCCTAGCCGCTCCGCGGCATGTGGGATCTTCCCAGACCAGGGCACGAACCCGTGTCCCCTGCATTGGCAGGCGGACTCTCACTCACTAAAAGGGGGAAGCCCCCCTTTTAGTAGGGGGAAGCCCCCCTTTTAGTGAATTTTAAAATTGAGAATTTCTGTTTGGTTGGTTTTGGTCTCCTAAGTCCAACATCTTGATTCCCCGCAAAGATAGTTATCAATGCCTGCTTATTTTTTTTCTCTTATGAATGGGTCATACTTTTCTCTTTCTTTGCATGTCTTATAATTTTTTGTTGAAAATTAGACATTTTATTTAATTTATTTTTTTGGCTGCGTCGGGTCTTAGTTGCAGCACACGGGATCTTTGTGGGGGCATGTGGGATCTTTTTCATTAAGGCACGTGGTCTGCTCAGGTTTCTCACTAGTTGCGGCACGCAGGCTTGTCTTTAATTGTGGCGTGCCGGTTTTTTTTTTTTTTCTTTCTCTCTATCTAGTTGTGATGCGTGTGCTCTGTAGTTTGCAGCACATGGGCTCTCGTTGAGGCACGTGAGCTCAATAGCTGTGGCATGTGGGCTTAATTGCCCTGCGACATGTGGGGTCTTAGTTCTTCTACCAGGGATCGAACCCACGTCCCCTGCATTGGAATACGGTTTCTTTACCACTGGACCACCAGGGAAGTCCCTAAAAATTAGACATTTTAGATAGTAGCCCCTCTAGAGAATGAGTCTTCCCTCTCCTTGTAGAGACAGAACCTCTGCACTGGTGCTCTGGAGCTGGGGATGGTGACAGCACTTTGCTTCTCCTGAAGAGGCACGTGTACTCTGACAGGGTGCTGTAAGGAGGGAAGGGTATAGTAGCCCAGCTTATCCCTCCTAGCATGGAACTTCCATTCTGCTAGCAAGCTGGGGAAGGAATGATAGGGCCCCAGGAATCTTGGCCTGTTTTTAGGGTGGGAGGCTACGAGTGGGAGCTACCAGGATGAGTAGTAGTATGAGAGTCACTGGAGACCTGGCCCTCCTCGGGTAAAATTGTAGCCTTAGACTAGGATCTGTGGAGAGAGGGAGCCCTCATCTTCTTGACAGCGCCACCCAGAAAGGAACTTCCATCATAGGAAGCAGTATGTGGGGGTGGGGGTGGTGATGGGGGCAGATCATGGCTCAAATGCCACCGGCTCTCACTGTTCTTATTGAGATTTAATAGATTGTCTTGGGTAGAATATTCTACTTTCTGCATGTCTTCAGGACAATTTTCAGAGACTTTATTATTTTTCTTTATTGAAGTATAATTGATATATAGTACCATATAAGTTACAGATTTTCAATATAGTAACTCATAATTCTTAAAGGTTATATTCCATTTATAGTTATTATGAAATATTGGCTATATTCCCTGTATACCATATATCCTTGTAGCTTATTCTATACAGAGACTTTAAGTGGTTCTTTTTCACCTATGAAATGGTTAATTTACTGAGGAGAGGATCCATGGACCTCTTCACTCTGCTATTTCAGAAGTCTGGAAGGCCTAACTTCTTTAAAAAAAAAAATCTGTCATAATTTTAGTTTTATTGAGTGGTCAAATGATGGTGTCTTTTCACTGTCAGCTCTGTTGGAAGTTACTGAGATATTCTTTGAGGCCTATTTGCATATTTTCCCTGAATTTTGCCATTTAAAATGTTACTGTTTCGGGACTTCTGTGGTGGTGCAGTGGTTGGGAGTCTGCCTGCCAATGCAGGGGACACGGGTTCGAGCCCTGGTCCGGGAAGATCCCCCATGCCGTGGAGCAGCTAAGCCCACGTGCCACAAGTGCTGAGCCTACGCTCTAGAGTCCATGAGCCACAACTGCTGAGCCTGCGTGCCACAACTGCTGAAGCCCATGCACCTAGAGCCCGTGCTCCTCAACAAGAGAAGCCACTGCAATGAGAAGCCTGTGCACCACCATGAAGGGTAACCCCCGCTCACCGCAACTAGAGAAAGTCCGCACGCAGCACCAAAGACCCAGTGCAGCTAAAAATTAAATAAATAAATTAAAAAAAAAGTTACTCTTTCAATCTGCTCTGTACTTTTCTTTTTAAAATTTTATTGATCATTTATAGGCTAAGAGATGTATGTTAAATGCTTCTGTTGTAATTGTTTGATATTGCCTTCTGGTAATTTGAACAGTTAGAGATGCTCTTTTTAAAAATTAATTAATTAATTTGGCTGCATCAGGTCTAAGTTGCGGCATGTGGGATCTTTTGTTGCGGTGAGTGGGCTTCTCTCTAGTGTGGCACGTGGACTCTAGAGTGCATGGGCTCAGTAGTTGCAGCATGTGGGCTTAGTTTTGTTGCAGCGAGCGGGCTCTTCGTTGCAATGTTTGGGCTTCTCTCTAGTTGTGGCGTGCAGGCTTCTCTCTAGTTATGGCGCAGGCTGTAGAGCGTGCAGGCTCAATAGCTGTGGCACGTGTGCTTAGTTGCCCCGTGGCACATGGGATCTTAGTTCCCCAAGCAGGGATCAAACTCACGTCGCCTGCATTGGAAGGTAGATTCTCAGCCACTGGACCACCAGGGAGGTCTCTAGAGATGCTCTTATTCAGTGTGTCTAGGTTAGTTTTGTTGTAACTAAGGATTTTACTTCTTAGAGAGATAAAATAATTTTGTAATTCAGTTCAGTCTGAATCCATGTCTTTCAGCAGAGGAGTTGAAATTCATTTACCTGACTTTACTATATATTACTCTTCTTTTGAAACTGTGTTCTTATCAATATTGTTGAATGGTGTTATTTGGCACCACAGTGCATAGTGGGGGAAACTTCTCCAAATTTAAAAATACATGTGGTCCTATTGAAGTTTGCTAGGTTATACCTTGTTACTGTTCAGAAATTGGTTTCTTTTTAAATTGTATCATCTGAGTATATGTAGTTAGGCATTAATTTTTGTATACTTAGCTTACAGTCAGTTGATAATTTTATTCATTATACACTTGTAGATTGCCATGTTTATAATTTAGTCTTTCATGAAAATTGGTACTGTCTATCAGCTATTTTCAACTGGGAGAAGGGCCAGATGGATGTCAAAGTTGCTGGCAGTGTTCATTGGCCAATACCTCTTGGGGATATCTCTGATCTCCTAAAGTGTCTTCTCCCAGGCCTATTTTGTCAGGTTGGCAGGGCTGATTGATACGTCATGTGGGATTCTTGTGGACAGTTGGAATGACCTAAACCTTGCCCACTCATTTAGGACTGTCCTTCACCTCTAAGTCCCAACTCCCTGTATCAACCTCCTTTATTTATGCTTATTTCCAGCAGAAAAGAAAGCAAACCTCTTTTTACACCTTTGTTACAGGAATCAGTTAAATATTGGTGAGGAGGAATATATTAATACTGAGGTGGGGTAGGCTATGTCCTGCCCCCTGGCCTCAGTTCCTGTGAAGATTCTTCTTATCTTGTGGGGTTTTTGAGTCTAAGGAAACATTGCCTTGTGAAATCGTACTAGGACTGTTTATGTCTGTATTGATGTTTTCATGTTTGGAAAAATTACAGTCAGAAAAAAAATGAATTCATGATTTGGAGTAGGTTAGATAGTAAACCTGATCTTGACTTCTGAAGATAACTATAAAATCCATATTTGTGTCAAGCACTCGTAAAGTTTTTGTTTTCTTTTCAATTTGTTTTGTTTCTTGACCCTAAGACTTGCTACATTTGTGATGAACAAGGAAGAGAAAGCAAAGCAGCCACTGGTGCTTGCATGACATGTAATAAACATGGATGTCGACAGGCTTTCCATGTGACATGGTAAGTATGTTTCTGTCATTGTACAGAAGTTAAATTGGGAATACCTTGTAAGTTAAAAACTTAGGTACCCAAATATTATTAAAGTAAATTTTGTTGGGATAGTGTCTATGTTTATATTTACTGTAATAAAGATAATTCTAATAATTGAGTGTATTTACCAGAGTCCAGTAGGTGGACCCTGGTTCTAGTGTTTTATTCAGTTACATTTTGTTTAAAATACTTCTGTTGGTTACCTACCCTTGGATTTGTCATTAGGATTAAAAGAGCTGATGTAGATAAATTTAGTGCAGTACCTGAAATACTAGTAAGGATTTAATGAATGATAGCCTTTTTTCACTGTCTGTGTTTCAAGAGGGGAAAAAAAGCAATCGCCATCATTCTCAGTATTATAGTGGCTGTTCCTTAAAAAGTTACTTAAATGTTTTTTTAAATAACATTCTAGTTTTATTTTGTTCATGTTTCTTTTCAGTTTTTATCCATGTACCTATTTGTTGCATAATTTTTTAAAATCACAGTTTAAATGTAACATTGTTTTTTAATAATTTTTTCACCAAAAATTTTGGTAAGATGATATAGTCCACTAGCAACATGGAAATGGCTGCATTATATCCTATCAAATGTTAGTATTTTATTTAATGTTTCACCAATTTGAGACACATTGTTTCCAAATTGTTTTATAATATGTGGTGCTGTAAAGAACATTTTGTGCATTCAACAAACATAAATGTAATTTCCTTAGAATAGTAACTAATGATAATTAATAGCTGTTATGTATTGAGTATTTACTATGAAGTGGGCACAGTTCCATGGAGTCGGATTTCAGGGCAAAAATTGTGAACATTATTATTGTTCTTAACACGTGTTACTAAATTTTTGGAGGCAGTGTAAATTGATACTAAAACTTGTACTCATATGTTTTTTTGAGCATAAAATTTCAAAAGCATAAATTATCCTAAAACAAAACATTCAACGTAATAGACAACAATTAAAACTAAAAGTTTGGCGAGACTTCCCTGGTAGTCCAGTGGTTAGGACTCCACGCTTCCACTGCAAGGGGCACGGATTCGATCCCTGGTTGGGGAATTAAGATCCCACATGCTGTGTGGCCAAAAAAATATAAATAAAATAAAAAATAAAAGTTTGGGAATAACTCATATAGTTATTAATTTTAAAAATCAGTCTATATTTATCAGCCAGTATAGGAACAGGCTTGATTTCTTGAGCTTTTAGTATGTGGATTTATGAAGTCCATTTTAGATTACTTTTGGGGAATGGAAAATATATATTTTTTAATATTATTCTTTTGGCTGTGCTGTGTCTTAGTTGCGGTATGCGGGATCTTCATTGCAGCCTGCTGGATCTTTAGTTGTGGCATGCAAGATCTTTTAGTTGTGGTTTGCGGGATCTTTAGTTGTGGCATGTGGGATGTAAATCCCCACCAGGGATTGAACCTGGGCCCCCTGCGTTGGAAGCATGGAGTCTTAGCCACTGGACCACCAGAGAAGTCCCATGGAAAAGATTTTTGTTTCTTTTAAATTCTCTTAATTGAAAAATGGACAGAAGACCTAAAGAGACATTTCTTCAAAGAAGAAGTACAGGTGGCCACTAAGTACGTGAAAAGATGCTCAAATCACTAATTATTAGAGAAATGCAAATCAAAATTACAATGAGGTGCCACCTCACACCAGTCAGAATGGCCATCATTAAAAAGTCTACAAATAACAAATGCTGGAGGGGGTGTAGAGGAAAGGGAACCCTCCTACACTGTTGGTGGGAATGTAAGTTGGTACAGCCACTGTGGAAAACAGTATAGAGGTTCCTCAGAAAACTAAAACTAGAATTACCATATGATCCAGCATTCCCACTCCTGAGAATATATCCAGACAAAAGTGTATAATTCAAAAATATACATGCACCCCTACGTTCATAGCAGCACTAGTCACAATAGCCAAGACATGGAAACACCCTAAATGTCCATCGACAGATGAATGGATAAAGAAGATGTGGTGTATATATACACAAACACACACACAGTGGAATACTACTCAGCCATAAAAAGGAATGAAAGAATGCCATTTGCAGCAACATGGATGCAACTAGAGATTATCATACTAAGCAAAGTAATTCAGAAAGAAGAAGACAAATACCATATGATATCACTTATATGTAGAATCTAAAACATGACACAAATGAACCTATCAATGAAACAGAAACAGAATCAGGGACATAGATAATAGACTGGTGGTTTCCAAGGGGGAGGGGGATGGATTGGGAGTTTGGGATTAGCAGATGCAAGCTGGTATATATGGAATGGATAAACAACAAGGTCTTACTGTATAGCACAGGGAACTATATTCAGTATCCTGTAATAAACCATAGTGCAAAAGGATGTACATATATGTATAACTGAGTCACTTTGCTGTAGTACCTCAGTAATTAGCACATTGTAATTCAGCTATACCTCAATAAAAAATAAAAAGAATTCTCTTAATATTGTATTTAAATTTCCAAAGATGAAAGACCTTTTTTGGGTATGAGATACATACTAGTAGTTTAATTTTGGAATGTTAAAAGTGGAAGGTCAAATTGACAAGATAATGATTCTAAACTTTAGCACTTCGTGTTTTTTAAAAATATGAATATCATAGCTTTAGGTTTCAGTTCCATTTCTTCCATTGTTTTTGACTAGAAAAACACAGCTTACATTTCTCTTACCTACTGTACTGTGGTATGACTTGAAGCATTTTCCTTCTAACAGTATGTAATCTGCATCATATGTCATGTCAGCCCTTTAGACTCCTGGCCTTTCCAGTTGTACCTGTGATACAGATTGAAAAAGTAAAATGAAGTGTTAAGTTTGGGGTGTGGAGATATCTTAAAAGAAATTTAATGTCTGCTTGGTGACATAAAACGTGAATAAATCTTCATCCTTGTTAGAGATAGATAAAAAGTTTATTTTAAACCATGTATATAACTTTAAAAATATATCAGTCATAGGATGGGATGAAATGTTCTTGGTCTCAGCTAGAATAAAGCCTTTTATTTTCCCTTTTTCTCATAGGCGATGTAAGGTTTTCTTATAAACCCTACATGCTTGGAAGTGAATTTTAAGTTTTATATATATCTATATATATAATATATAGATATATATATACACACACCATGGTTTGAAATTTTGTTGATATACTTGGCTTTTTTTTCAGTGCTCAGTTTGCAGGACTACTTTGTGAAGAAGAAGGTAATGGTGCAGATAACGTCCAATACTGTGGCTACTGTAAATACCATTTCAGTAAGCTGGTAAGAATTTGTCTTGAATTTAATTTTAAAATGATAATAATTAGTTTTGACAAAAGAGTTGAGTCTTTTATAGAAAAGGCATAATAGCCATTACTTTTTTTGGTTGTTTGTGCTTCAGATTAAGTTTGCTTAGCGTGTTCTTTGTTGGGAATTAAAAGCTCTAGTAATTTTAAAAGATTTTGCTTTGCTTGGGTTCATTTATAAAGGTGAATATTCTAAAATAGTCTACTTTAGAATATATATTAATAGTTAATAGTAAATGTTGCTATACATTTAGTAGAAAATACAAATGTGTAAAGAACTCTTTGTAACTTACCACCATTTTCAGTTAATTTAATTTTTGATGTTTATGTATTTTGTGATTCTCTATCACTTGTTTCTCATCTTTTTGCTTTATTACTATTACCCATTTTATTATTTATTTTCATTTTTATTTACTTGGAGATAGTAAGCCTGAAACAAGGCTCTTTTGTAACTTCTTGGTTAAAGATTTTGAGAAAAATATATTTAAATACAACTTTGGAAATATTTTAGATTTGATCACTCTTTACTGTCACATAGTAGCATGGATGAGTTAGTATTATTTGATTAACCATTACGTATTTTGTGTCCATGTTCCTTTGACAGATCAATATTTCCTTAATGCCCCATTGTCTATTTCTCAGTCTTTAGTGGTATCAGATTTGTATACTGAAAATATAAGGCTTCTTTGTTTTTCTTTAGTGTCTCATTGTTATTTTTTATTGTTATCTCTCCCCTGTGAATAGGGCTATTTCTTTCTTTTTTAAAAATAAATAATATCATTAGGGGCCCCTTTCTTAAGAAATGAGCAGCTCATGACTCCAGTATTCTGGTTCATGCATATGAAATATTTAAGATTGTACATATATATTGTTTAATATTGAAGACTTTGATTTATTTTAATGACTGTCAAAGAACATTGAAGTGTTCTAAGAGAAATCTTGAGATAGTAAAATTGGAAATTTGCTTTAAAACCACATTGGAATGTTCATTTTCTAAATCAGAGATGATATAGATAAAATATAGAAATAATGAAAGTGGATTTTGACCTTTGCGTAAATAGAATTTTTTCATTGTTACTTATTAATATGCTGTTATCCCATTTGGTGGTTGGGGGAAGAAATCTGTTTAATAATTTAATAAGATTGTATAAGATCTATGTTTGCATGGAATTTGATCATCTTTTATAGTCACTTTTATCTAGTTTAAACTAATTAGTTATGGTACCACCAAATTTTAACACCTCCAGTAACTCTGTCATACTTTAGTATGAATCTGTGTAAGTATTTTAAATAGAAATGTGTAATAGTTTTAGTAATGCTTTGAAAAATGCATGGGTCTAATGCTGACATTTCCTTTCATTTTTTTTTTTTTTCTGTATGAACCGCAGAGACAAATTTTTAGAAACTCGTATGCCCTAATACTGAACGTATGAGATTAAAAGGCTTCTTGCTTTTCCTAGTGGCATAAAGTAACTCTTCAGATATTTTCTTTTCTTTTCTTCTAGTCTTGGCATCCTTTTTCAATATGGCATTCTCTATTTTTGGTTGAAACATCTTTAGTTTTTTAAACCGGACGTTGAAAACTATAGTTGATCTCTTTAATGAGGTGGTTTTGTAATAAAATGACAAATAAGTTATTGCTTGTTTGAAAATGTAGTCTTTTTTCACACTTTTTAATAAACGTACAAAAACATGGCATTAATCTTAGATTTAGGGTTAGATTTTCCTTTATAATGCAATATATAATATATGGATGGTGTCTGGAGTATACAGTTTGAAATAGACTTTTTTTTCCTTCAGTAGACATTTTATAGTACTTCACACTTGAATTGGTTTAAACCTAACAAAAGATTTCAAATTTTATATACATATACCTATATGTATACATATTTTCTTTTTTAGAAAAAGAGCAAACGGGGATGTAATAGGTCATATGATCAAAGTTTAAGTGATTCTTCCTCTCACTCTCAGGATAAACATCATGAGAAAGAGAAAAAAGTAAGTGGATTTGTTGTTGCTAAATATGTAGCACATCTACTTAATAGATTTTTTTCCCGTTTTTAGATAAAATTAAGTTTCTTGATAGCTGAATGAAAACATTGAAATACTGAAAAATTTTGGCTAATACAGAGTATTAAGTCAAAGAGTAGGTTTAAAATAATATGCCATATTTGTGAATATGGTTGTACCCATTTCAACTGAAAATTTGAAATATTGAAAACTTTATTGAAGGCATGTGAGGGATTTCTTGCATGTGTTATTACTCTGGTCATCTTTTGAAATCTTTGGGTAACTTTAGCAATAATGGTTTGTTGCTAGATATTATTAACTGATTATTTCACATGTAAGTAAAAATCTCATCAGCCTTTTCCCTTTATAATATAGAACAATTTTGAAGTTCTGTATATTCTTGACTGTTATTTTTTCCCCAGTGGTACTAATGGTTTATTATTTTTTTAATGACCAAATGTCATACCATTTGTTTGAGAATATTCTGTCTTAATTAAAACACTAAAAGCTTGCCTAATACTAATCTGTCTTCTTCTGACTTACCTGTTTTCTGCTTACATTTTTACTTATTGTAAAGGATATGAGTAATTTTTAGTAAACTAATGATAAGTACTGTAGAATCATTCATAGGACATATTGCCCACATAGGAAAAGGATACTGCTATGGATTGTTTTCAACAAAGTGGAGATACAAAGGACTTCTTCAGTTAGGAAAGAATATTACTTTTAAACAGTTGGTATAAACTAGTTTGGAAGATATTTCTACAGATTGTGTGAAAAACTAAATCACTTAACATTTTCATGTTTGTAAATACTTAGGAATTTGGTTAGAATTTGTTTCTTTTTTCAAGGTAAACATTTTGAAAGCTTAAATTTTTTGTTTTGAGATTAATTTTCCAATTATTAGTGAATAATAATTATAACTTTATATTCTCCTTCAGTACATTTGTTAGGTTTATATATTTTTGGTAGATCTTAGGCAACAAGTACACATATTCATTTTGAGTTCTTTAACGAGGTGCTTTTGTGATAGTGACAATAGTAGGGTTTGATTTTGCTGTTTATTGTTGCTTGTGTTGCTCATGGAAAAATGGCAGATTTGGTTTAATTGGCAGTTTTTGTAACAAGCATTGTGAGATTTTATTTAAACTTTTTAATCATGATTGAGGAAGTCTTAGGTAGGGCTTATTATAAATTGTGAAAAGGGAAGTCATATACCAATGATGTTCTTATATTCTGCCATTTCATGAGGATTATCTGTTTAAAGAAGTATTTGCTGTATGACCATATTTATCTTAATCTATGCCCTGTCATGTTATTTTTAATGGACAATTACTAAATGTAGTACAGTGTTTAATAAATACAGTACTGGTGACTATATTTATTTATTAATCTTTTTTTCCTTCTAGGAATGAATTAAAGTTTTCATTTTATGAGTTTTTGCAGTCGTTGAATACTGTATTAAAAAGCAATGTATTAAGTTAGTCAAACTTGTTTAACTTTAAATTCTAGCTGTTGGTATTTTCATTAGTATATAAATACTATTTGAATTTTACTTTTAGCGCGTATAAGTTTAGTACAACTTGATTTTGTTGTCAGACTTAAAATCAGTTTGTGCATTTTATTTTCTGATAATTAAGATTTTCTGATAATCTATAAAGGCTGTGAGATAAACATACTATAAATTTATTATTATTGTTAGACTTGTTTGCTTGCCTTAGGAATATTCGGGGAGGGACTTTTTTATTATGGTATGATGTTAAGTGATGACGTAGCTGTAGAGATAGGGTGTTACAGACTGTCTTTCTCTTCATCCCTCCTTACCTCTTTTAAGACTTTAACATCTAATAGGGTTGTCTTGAAAATATGCATATCGTGTTATAAAATGTTTTTGACAAGTAGTACTTATAATCTATTTGGATTTTACTAATTTAAAATACTATATATTATGAACTAAAATTTGGTGATATTGTTCATAAGATATGTTAGAATCATGTTCCCTGTGAATTCTTTTATCTGTGTTCATTCTGTCACGTTTATTAAGTTATAAATAAGTGATAAAGAATATTTAATACTAAATATTGTATTATCTAACTCACTTATTTTTAAATGAAATCAACTTATAAGTTAACTTTTTATATATAACTATAAGAAAATTAAAAAAATATTGGGCTGGCCAAAAAGTTCGTTCGGGTTTTCTGTACGCTACAAAAACCAGAATGAACTTTTTGGCCAACCCAATACTTAGCCTTTGCTTTTCAGAGAATTTCTCTGTGGCCCAAGATATATTATTACTGGTTAGATATTAACTGTGAAATGCCAGCAAGGAGAGAGGAAAAGCTAATGGTGAGATATACCTTTGAATTAGAGACAGTTTCTCTAAAAATTGGCATATATATTTTTAAAAGAATCAAAGTACATGTTTGAAATGAATGAAAAGCTATACATATTATAGGAGGGGCTTAATTCATTCATGAAATAGTTTGGATCATGATCATTACTGTTTAAGAAGAATATCTTCTAAGACTATTAATGTCAATTAATGCTCATTGTAAAATAGAATTTTTTTTTTAAACCTAGTGTTTTTGTGTTTACAGAAGCACTGCCATACGGTGAGATGTGGGCAAAAGTTAGGAAATGGAGGTGCATATCAGACTTGGAGACATGCCATTGTTTTGTGAGGCTCCGAGCTTCAGAAAGGATTTTTTTTCTAAAGGCTAAGTTGGAGGTCATCATTTAGAAATCAGTGGTTATTTTTTGCATTGAGATAATCTGTACCAGTTCATTTGATCCTCACTTTATCCTCTTCCCACTCATCAATGTTAACTTATATTGTATCAGTAGTATAGTATTATGCTAGACTAGACTTACAGTACTTTACAACCACATTAACATTAGTGGCAGTGTATCTTATGGAAATTTACTCAGTTCCAAATAGGTATGACAGAAATTCAGCTGTCCCCTACTACAATTAGAGGGATTTATCTCCCATCCTGTACTCCACCCCCTTACTTGCCCTTGGTTCCATTCTGTTATTAATAACTGGCAACAGATGAAGGAGTTATTGCTAGTATAAATACTTTTTAGGGTGCTTTGGGAGGTTGGGGGAGATAGGCTTTTTGGGTAGTGTTTTGTCAACCTCAGGGAATTGACTGGACTTCCCTTTTGTTTAGGACTGTTCATCTCTTCGAAGAGAACTGGGCTACTTCTTTGGTCCTTGGAGGAATAAAACTCTCAATCACAGAGCTGTCATTACTTCTCTGTATTTTTGGTTTTTTTTTAAGTTTTCAGTTTGAGAGTCACCCGTTACACACACACACACACTTTTTGTCCTTCCCTTTGGAAATCTTCCACTCAGGTTAAAGCTTTAAGCTTCTACGTGTGCAAAGAGTTAAGAGAGGGGAGAGGGCAGGGCTTTGCAGGAACAGTAATTTAGAATGTTTGGAGTGTGTGTTTGGTGGGGCCGAAGAATGACGGGAGATGAGACTATTTAATTAAGAAAGTCATTTCCACAGAAGTAGAGAACAAACGTATGGACACCACAGCGGGGATGAACTGGGAGTATATGGCAGTGCTTCTGTAAACACAAAAACACTAGACTTAAAAAAAAAATTCTATTTTACAATGAGCATTAATTGACATTAATAGTCTTAGAGACTAGTCTTTCTCTATACTGCTTTTTACTATAAATAGCAAAAAGACTGCACTTTCAACATATTACACTAATATGTATAAAATAGATAACTAACGAAAACCTGCTGTGTAGCACAGGGAACTACACTTTGCTGTACAGTAGAAACTAACACAACACTGTAAAACAACTATACCCCAATTAAAAAAAAATGGTGTCATTTCATGAATAGTTTTATAAGTAATGCTAGTTTTACCCTTCATCCTGGGGTGTTGGGCAGCCAGCCAGAAGGATTAACATCTTTTTTTAACTTTTGATTTTGCAGTAATTTTAGACTTGCGGGAAAAGTTGCAAAAATACTACACATTATTTCTCTGCACCATTCACCCAGACTCCCAAGATGTTAGCATTTCATCCTGTTAGCTTTATCATGTCCTCCCTTCCTCTCCCGCCTTTGCCCTCTTTCACTCACTTTTCTATGTATAATCTTTTTTTCTGAACTTGAGACAGTAAATTATAATGCCCTGTTAGCCTAAGTCCTTTAATGTGTAGTTTTAATAAAAGGGGAAATTTCCTACATGATTACAGTACAGTGATCAAAGGCAGTAAATTAACATTGTTGCAGGACTATTAGATCTATAGATCCTATTTGAATTCCACCCACTAATGTCCTCCATACTAAAAGAGGGAGACTTTTTTTTTTCTGGTTCAGAATCCAATCCAGGATCACACGTTGCAGTCAGTTGTCCTGTCTCTTAGTTTTTCCCAGTCTGGAATATTTCCTCATTCTTTCTTTGTCTTTCCTGACCCTGACACCTGACATTGTTTCAGGTTCTCTGAGGTTCACTAAATCTTAACAGTGGATTTTACAGTCATACCCTTGCTTTGCTCTCATATAGTGGTTTTCTGACAGTAGCCTAGATTTTATGTTTTTCTGGAAGCTAGTCCTTACTTTAGCATTGTTTGCTGTCTGGAAAGACTGGCAACTTATAAAACTAGCAGGTCTTTGTTCCTTTTTTGTCAGTGGTTTTCCTAGTTTAGTCTATCTCTGTACTGCTTTTTACTATAAATAGCCGAAAGACTGCACTTTCAACATATTACCTAGAAAATCTCCTTGTTAAATCATACAATACATTGAGTACACTTTCTCTTTTCTATGTTACCATGGGCATAATGTTGCTAAATGTTGTTACTACATAACAAGAACCCCCTTTCCTCTAATTTTCAAGTACATTTTTTTCTCTTTTAAGCCCTCCTTAGCAGCCTCTTGAAAGGCTAGGAATAGTCTCTTCCATGCTCCTTAGGCTTTCACGCATCTTCTCCTAAAAGTCCTTCCAGCTCCTGCCCACTGAGAAAT